AAAAACACTGAACAGACATCAATACCAGGATGAGAAAGAGGTGTTAAAAAGATCTGACAAGAGTTTTTATGGAGCCTTCACAAAAATGTCTCAACAATGAGGAACATGCTTAAAACCAATGAAAAAGTAGAAACTGTCAGGAAAAAAGAGATACAAAGAATCAAATGAAAAAAACAAAACAGGGACAAAAAATACAAAACTAAAAATCTCAATGGGTTGGCAATAGCAAAAATGGAGAGGACCAAGGAAAGAATCAGTTAACTTGGAGACAGAACAATAGAAATTATGCAGTCTGGAAAACGGAGGAAAACAGACTGAAGGGAAAAGTGAACAGAGCTTCAGGACCTGTGAAACTATTGAAAAGGATCTCATATTTATGCTCTTGGGATCAAACGAGAGGAGAAAAAGCAATTGGAACATTGCCTATAAAGTAATGAGATTGAAATTGATGCTGGGTTTCTTATTAAAAATGGGTATTATAACAAAATGGAAGAAAGACTTCAAAATTCCATGGGGAAATGGTGATGAACTTCAAACTTCATAGGCAAAGTAAAGTTGGAATAAAATTTTGAGGCATTCAAAGACTCCGGAAGTCTACTTCCTACGAAATATTTCCGAGAAAATTTCTTAAGGATGTCCTCCATAAAAACTACGGGGAAAACAGGCAAACAAAACAAAAACATTATAAACTAATGCAGCAGTAAAGGAAACCCCCAAGATGACAGCTTTGCATCAGGCCTTAGAAAGCTATTAATCTAGACTTGAAAAAGGGATGCTTGACTCCAGCAAGAAAATTTCCTGAGAGGCCAAAGGCAGGCTTAATGGAATTCCTAATGTAAGATTTTGTAGTGAAAACAATAGATAAAGTAAAATAGTGAAAGAGAAAAAAGTCAAACTTTAGGGAAAAAAAATACAAGAAAAAAGGTATATTGCTTAGTTGTAAAATGAAGCATATTTACAGTCATATTAACAACTGTTTATTATTTTTCAGTGTTTAAAACCCAGCTCCAGGAAACACACATAAACAAAACTCAGCTTAAAGAATTTACTTTTGACAATATAAAAGACCATATGACAGAGGATGGGAGGTTAGCAGTGGGAAACAGGTTAAGGTGAGGATAGCCTCTTATCTTTAAAAGATCTGGTCAATATATTCTCCAGGACATGAATCAGTAAAGGTGTTGAGTCTGGCACAATTGCTCAATGGCTAAGCCCTCACCTTGTATGTGCCGGGATCCCATATGGACACTGGTTCTAATCCTGGCAGCCCCACTTCCCATTCAGCTCCCTGCTTGTGGTCTGGGAAAGCAGTGGCGGATTTTTTTTAAAGATTTTTTTTTTTTTTATTGGAAAGGCAATTAAAAAAAAGAGAGAGAGAGGAGACAGAAAGATCTTTCATCTGCTGATTTACTCCCCAAATAGCTTCAACACAATGGCCAGAGCTAGGCTGATCTTAAGTCAGGAGCCAGAAGCTTCTTCCTGATCTCCCATATAGGTGCAGGTCCCAAAGACTTAAGCTATCTTTCATTGCTTTCCCAGGCCGTAAACAGGGAGCTGAATGGGAAGTGGAGCAGCCAGGACACAAACTAGTGCCCAAATGGGATCCCAGTGGTTTCCAGGGGAGGATTAGACAATTGAGCCATTGCACTGGGCCTGGAAGATCTGTCTTTCCTTCTCTGTAAATCTGATTTGCCTTTCCAATAAAAATAAATAAATCCTTTTAAAATTAAAGGTAAAAAAAAGTGTTACTTAAATTTTGGAAGCTAGGCAATACTCAGAAGCAGGAAGGTGTTGAACCTGGTATATCATGTGTTGTAAAGACATTAAGGGGTAAGATCTGAATCTTCTTTAATGTGCTCACATAGCATATTATTTAGGTATGCAGACAACAGGAGTAAAAATGATTGCCAAAGTCAGAGTACCTCCTTGGGCCCGGCGCGGTGGCGCAGTGGTTAAGGTCCTCGCCTTGCACGCCCAGGATCCCATATGGGCGCTGGTTCTATCCCAGCAGCCCCGCTTCCCTTCCAGCTCCCTGCCTGTGGCCTGGGAAAGCAGTGGAAGACGGCCCAAGGCTTTGGGACCCTGCACCCGCGTGGGAGACCCAGAAGAGGCTCCTGGCTTTGGATCGGCATAGCATCGGCCGTTGGGCTCACTTGGGGAGTGAATCATCGGATGGAAGATCTTCCTCTCTGTCTGTCCTCTCTGTATATCTGCCTTTCCAATAAATAAATAATAAAAATCAATCTTAAAAAAAAATCAGAGTACAGATGGGGCTCTTTGGGACAGCAGACCTCTGCTTTTTATAAGTTCTGAGCTGACTCAACTTTATTTTTTTTCTAAATATTGTGCATGATAATAATGGGAATAATCCCATTTTAAGTGAATATTTAAGAAAATTTTTTAAAAGTCCGAAAGGCCACTTCTGGCCACAAATCTCTCTTCCTATAAGTCCCTCCAAACCTACTGTAGAATGCAAATAGTTTGGGAAACTTTATCATCTCCCTTCCTCTCTCCACCTTCAAATGCAGGCTCTGCTCCAAACTGAAATATGTTAGGCCAAACATGACATCTTCATATCATCTTTCTTGTTTTCGTGTCTCCCAAGCCTGGAAAGTTCTCCTTCCATTCCTATTCAGCTCTGTCCAAATTCTGCCCCTCCAAGGATACCTGGTCCCTGACACATGTTCCCCCCTAAATCCTCTTATGTTTCTAGCACTTTCTTCTAGTATGCTTAGGCCATTGATTTGTGACGCAAACCTTCTTCCCCAGTGGCTAAAACACTAATCTGATACTGTCACTCTGCTGTCTCAAGCCCTCCTCCTACTTCCTGAATTGCTCTAAAGCACCAAAGATTGACGGGCATTCACCTCTCATTGCTGCATGAGATAGTGCCCAGGTCCTACCAGATTCATGTACATCCCTACTCTTCATGCAATTCTGCTTCAACAATTCCTCTTCTTGGAATATTCTTTCCTCTCTTCCCACATGGTAAACACAACTCAAATTTCCCCCTTTCCATAAAGCTTTCCTGCGTATTCTCTGTACCCTGGGGAGAACCATTGCCATGCTTCTCACTCACTGCGCCTCAGTCTTCCCTTGTATCACCTGGCACTTGGTGCCTGTGTCTGCTTACTTACTGTAGTCTCTAATTAAATCTGAGTTAATACAGGGCAGAGCACACTATTCCCAGAACATAGCACAAGGCCTCAGATGTAGTAGCAATTCAGCACAGGCTTTCTGAATGAGTGCATGAAAAAGTGATGCACAAGTGAATATATGAACAAATGCAGCAGTAAATGCTTATATGAAGGCATGGATAATGTGCATTGTGACAAACTGCATGGATTTATTTTGCACTATCTTTAAATTCCATTTTTTACTTTTTTTTTTTGTGGAAACTCCTGTTAGCATGTGACTAAAGTGAATGAGTGAAGAAGTCCATGTATGAACAGGCTTGTGCCAGTGAGGGCGCGAGAATGTGAATCCCCACCACCGTCTTTCTTGAAACCCACCAGGAATACGTCCCGTCTTGCTCTCCGGCCATCTAAGCTGCATGCCATCACGCTAACCTTTTTGATGACAAGGAACAAGGACACGCTCAAGTTAGCAATTGGCATTTATTAAAGTACTCATGGGAAAATAAGGAAGACAGGAACACAGGCAGCCTCACGGAAGAACAGAAACTTGAAAACGGTTCATGATCCAAAGCAGCTCTGGAGCCTGGCTTCTTTTGTCACCCCCTCAACTGCAGGCATCTGTTGCTCCCTTCTCTATTGCTTCCCAAAATGGTGACTCAACTACTTTCTGGTTGTATTTATTCTCCTCCTACTGCTACTGACTAACTTCTTCCTGCTTCCCTTGTTGCTAGCCCCACGGATTTCATCGCCTCACCAGCTTCTAGGTCCACTTGTTCCCACAGCTTTATGGTGTTTGGGACCTCATGTCGTAGCTTCTGCTTGCCCTGTAACTATCGGTACCTCTTCCATTCCCATTGCTATGCTGCCACTTGGTCCGGGTAACCTTGTGGCTCTTGCAGCTTTGAGGTTTCTGCCACCTCTCGGATTTTGTCCGTTCAAGTCTTCAGCTGCTGCATGGATCTCATGGTTTCTGTTCCTCGTGGCCCCTTGCCACTTCATGGCTTCTGCACCCGCTTTGGTCCATTGTTGCCTTGGAGCTTTATGGCTCCGGCTGTGGCAGCCCATGATGACCAAGGTGTCTCATGATCCCTGTCATCATAGGATTTCTGCAGCTTCCTCTTTGCTTTCGCCGTTGTTTCTCATCACCGCACATCCACTTCTACCTTACGAAATCTTGTTCATCTGCTCCTTCCTACCACGTCACCCATCTTCCCTGAAAGGACCATTGTTACATCTAATCGTTTCATGCACTTGTTCACTCACTATGTGCTCCATGAGGTGGAATTCCTATGCCAGCCCAGAGGATTGGCCGTCCTTGGGTCAGATAACCATTAATTTGGGCATCTGTGGCCAGGATTGTGAAGCCACATGGTACAGAACATGCCAACCCAGGTTAACGGATCCCTTTAGAAGGGGCTGCAGACATGAGAGGTTTGCTGAGGGCTTCCCTAGGGTGTGGTGTAATCAGCAAGCATCTTGTCGCACCTGTCTGGTTCCACTGCTCTTCAAAGCTCGGCCAGAGTCCCACCTTTTTCCCCAGGCCACCTCTACACAGAAACTGACAGCAAGGCTCCAGAGGTGATACAGGGAGGGAATGTGGGTTCCATCTCTGGCCCCAATACTTCCCAACAGTGGGATACTGGGAAATGAATTCTACCACCTCCCCTTCCAGGACCTCTAAGAGGGTTGGACAAAGTCACGAAGTTCCCTCACAGCTCTGACAAGCTGGGGGATCTCACTGTTTGCTATAATCTTAAGGGATGTGGGGCTTACCTGGGGAAGCCCTCACACACATCTCTTGAGATAGGAAAGGAGTTGGCATCCTAGCTTGGAGGAGTGTCACTGCACAGGAGGTGCTTAGCCAATATTTATTGAATTGGATGAATGAATCAATGACTGGGAAGACAGGGGAGTGGGAAAGCACACAGCATGTTCAACTAGATTGAGGGAGGAGTTTCTGTGAGGTGGCTAGGAGACTTTGATTCAGAGATGGAGGAGGAAGACACAAGTGGGATGGGGTGGGGATTCTGCATGTTCAGGGCACACATTCTACCCTCAGTCACTCTCCACATCTGAGCATCAGTCACCAATTCCAGTTCTTCCTCCTCCCTTAACAAAGAGTCTCCGGGTCCATACTGTCTCTCATAAACACATTCATTAATTCCAAACTTTGACTGGGTGCCGGTTTTGTGCCAGGCACTGGGCTTTTTGCAGAAGATAGACTGATGCACAAGGTATTCCCATATCCACCCTCTGTGTTGCTTGCAGCTTTATTTAGAGACAAAATGAAAAGTTCATATAGCAAGAAGTCGAGTAACAGGAAAACTACAGACACAGGTGCATCCAGAATAAATACCTAACCTGATCTGCTTCTGCACCAACTGGTTGGCTGCAGCAAGCTTCTTCAGTTGACATCTAAAGTGGAATTGTCCTAACATCCCACTTCAAACAAGTTCATGGCTCCGCCACTGCCTTTAAGTTATAGTTTCCAAATCCACTGCACTGTAGAGTCAAGGCTCCAAGGTCCCACTTTTAGACTTCCTGGAAGTGTGTTTTCAGAGCCTTGGCCCAGAATGCTGCATGGATTTACAATGTACAAATGGCTTGGAAACCACACTGTCCCTTAAAATGAACCTGGACCCCTACAGCCAGATACTGGATGCTCTTCCAGTCTGTCTCCTGTCTAGCTTTCCTTGCTATTCTTCCAAGAATTTGGGCTTCAGTATTTCTGAGCTTGCCTTGTTGCTGTTATTGTTTGCCTGAGTCTTCATGCATGCTATCCCCACTACTCCGAAATTCCGTCTACTTCCTCAACTGGCTCATTTCTAGCAGTTCTTCTAGTCCCAATCCAGCTGTCACCATTAGGGGATGCCTTCTGTGAATCTCCAGCTAAGCTAGATGCCCCTCCTGTGCTGTCAGAGTGCCCATCAAGTCACATGGGCAACAGCTTACCTTTTGAATGGCTTCTCCAGCAACCAGGGAACTCTTCAAAGGCAAGACAAAGGCTTGGGCCCATCTTTGTGCTCCTATTATACAACACCATAATTTCTAAAACTTGTAAAATCACAGGTGGATACTGTGATGGAGTACTCAACTCTCTTGACCAAAGCCACTGGGTTCACAGTATGAGTAGATGGACTTCCTTCAACATGCCCTAGGGATTTTGCATGGACGCAGCTTGCTTTTGCAAGCATACCATGGTGCCTGCCCTCCTCCAAGGATGGCCTTCATTTGACACATGCTGCCCAGCAATGGCAGCAGACACAACCAAAGAGCAGTGTGTGAGCAGTAAGGAGACCAAAGTCTAGGCTCTGCCAAGGAAACCAATGAATTCCTAGTCAGGCTACCTCATCACACCCTTTCCCTCCAGAACTAAAGTCCTCAAAGCTCTTTCATGGCATTTGTGTTCTTGGGGGCTGAGGCCTTAGCCAAGATATGTCCTGTAATCCTTTGCACCCTGTGAGGTGGGGTTAGTTATCCCCACCTCATCTACCGAATCAGAGTTGGAGAAGAGAGCAGAGCAACTGACTTGTAAAACAACTCTGGATGTGGGGAGACAGCAGGGAATCACTGCTTTTCATTCCAAGCTCTTCTGTACTATTTTGTTTAGTACCTATTTACATATAGTCGACTTTTAAAAAGAGGAAGAAAGAAAAAGCTTTGTAAAGGATTCTGTACAGCCATGGTAGATGGCCTCTTCTATAATGGAGAAAACACTAGCATGATTGGAGGACCAGGGTTCCAATCCAATATTGTCCTCTGACAGACACATCACTCCACCTTTCTGGGCCTTAGTTCCCTCGACTGTGAAGTGGGGAGAACAGCAACTGTCATCCATAAAAAGACTGATTTACATGGCATCCCAACAGCTTTCATATAACCTTCCCTTTGCTGTTTTAAGCATCTGCCATTTCCTTTCAGGAGATCAGGGGTCTGAGGCTCAGAGGTGGACTACTTGGCCACGTCTCCAACAGCTATGATTTGAACCAAAAGTGAGGCCCAAACTGTTAACAGCCTTTGCCGAAATTGTGGCACATGTACCACTGGTGGTGACTTTTTTGGTGGAACACAAATTCATTTCAATAATCATGCCTTTTAATTGATCTTAGCAAGATACACCAGTCCCACACCAAACCTGTGACTACACACCTATGATGAAGCTGATGTCGGTAACTGTGTCAGACCTTAGAGCACCACAAGAAAATCACAGAATACGACAAGAGGGCCATTTGAAAGTATCTCCAAAAAACAAAACATAAATATGGCCCACATTAGCATTCCCATGACTGCACAATCCCACTATGAGGACTAACAGCCCTCTTCCCTTCTTGCTCGCTCTCTCACACACACAGACTTCCACAGGCATATGGTTAGTCCTGTGTCTTATTCTTTAATAGTAAAAACTAAAAACAGCCTTATTTTCCATAGCAGCAAGGGACAAGTAAAACGCAGTAGGGTCATATGGTGATCTACACAGCAATTACACAAAAGGGATTGATTACAACCTAGCAACATGAGCGGGTCTCTAAAACATCATTATTAGGCAAAGCAAGCAAATGAAATAAACAATTCAATAAGCCTTCTGCATCAAAAGCTATTTCCAACAAACTTATCTACGTAAAAGTACTAGACTTTAGATAGAAGTACAATGGTAGGTTGAGGGGGGGAGAGAAGTTGGTAGCTGAGTGAGACTACCTGATCTATATAATCTAATTTCTTAAAAAGAGAATTGATTAGTTCATTACTTAGATAACAGGAATTGATTAGACTTTAAAAAGCGAAGAAATACACAGATGAGACAAAGGTCTGTAGGTGGACAAGTGAAGGTGGCAGGCGTTCCTAGTAACTAATGAGGGCAGTTCCTCACACGCGTCAGGTTGGGAAATGGCCCAGGCAACCTCTCTCCTGCTTCTTCGCAACCAGGGCTGATGGCTGACTACCCAGTTATCACATCTAACTGAAGCTCCAGGCTTCCCAGGCCCTCACTGACCAGGCAGAGCCCATCAGTGCCCTGGCACTTTCCCAAATCACCAGAGCATCCTTAACCTCCCAAATCTGTATGCTGCTCCCGTCCCTAACAGCCAGGATTAAGATCAGAAGTCCTCAGGGCTCCAGGCACAAGAAGGCTTGTATTCTGATGGGACAGCACCTACTGGGCTCCACACAAGGGTAAGGCCTACAGTGAGGAACTTGACATCATCAAATCCTATGAGGTAGGTAAATACTGTTAGCCCCATTTTACAGATGAGGAAACTGAGGCACAGAAAGGTGAAATGACTTGTCCAGCATCAAACTGATCAAAAGTGTGCCAGGACCCTTAACTGTCCCCAGAGCGCTTTGTTGCCTTCTCAGTGCCTGATCAAAATCTAGCGGTCAAGGTCCTGATGACATGTGACAATTCCCTGGAGGCGACAATCCTCATCTCACATTCAAAGTACATGACAACATCCAGCTAAACCCAGTAAATTCCCAACCCACTGCAGCTCCTTACCAGGACAGAGATCATGCACAATTCCACTCCGAATGACAAGCATCCAGCCGGACAGCGTAGTCCGTTATGTACTTGATGAGCACGCAAGCGAACAAACACATCAGGGAGTGAAGGTGACTGCTGAAGACCCCCCGGGAGGAGCACAGCACCTTTGTCCAGCTCTGGGGTGCTATCCTAGGCTCTCCTGGAGGCAGATTCAGCCTAGGCTCCTTTCCAAAACAGGTCTCCGGGATCTTTTACTATTCTGCATACACACACACATGCACACAGGTGGCCACACATCCACACACTGGGCAAAAGGCCCGGGGGAGCCATGCGGATGGATGGTGAGGTGGAGAGATCTGGGAGGGAAAGATGGAGGGACGGTCCTGTTCAGCCCAGCTCAGCACCTCCTTGCAGAGGCCAGGAGGCTCCCTGTGGCTCAGGAAGTTCTATTCCAGACGCAGCAGCATCTCTGTTCCTCTTCATGCTTGACGGCAGAGCCTACATTCCATGACTACACCAAACAGGGCCAGGAGACAGGGAAGGTTGGCAGCCAAATATCCAAAGAATGGCAGAGGGGCAGCTAAGGGATCCCAGGCAGGGCAGGAGGGCAGAAACTACTGCTACTGCTCATTGGGGTTGGGGTTGGCATCTGGGTACTTGGTGAGGTCGAAGGTCAGGACTTTGCTGATGACACAGTCCCCTTGCTAAAGAAGGAGGGAGAAAAAGAAAAAGAGAATGGTGAGGGGAGTGTTCAGAGGGATCTGGCACGCTAGGACCAGGGGACCTCAAGCCCTCCTCCCTGCAGGGCTGCCACGAGCCCAGCCAATGGTTTTCTCCAGGTGTAAGAAGACATGTGCAGCCCTGCGTGCCTTCTCTCCCTGTGTACCTCTGCGCTCTCCTCTTTTCTCTCCACTGCCTGGCTGCCCCTGCCTGCCCCTAAACGCAATGGGCATGCCCACTGGGCCTGGCCAAGCCTCCAAGGCAGGGCTCCAACAAGCCCAGATGGCGGCCGCTCAGGACCTGGTTTCCTGTGCATCCCCCGCCCCCTTGTCCCTGCACTGCAGCCTTCCCTTCCTGCCCTGGGGAGTCAGGCAGGGAGGGGGCTCAGCTCCCGAGCCAGGTCCCCTACCTCGGGGTAGACGCCAATAAGGCTCTCTGCCTTGGTGTAGAACTCTTCCTTGAGAGAGATGACGATGGCCTGGAAGTTGCATGTCGACTGCTCCTTGATGTAATTTGCTACCTGTGGGAGGGGTCGCCAGGCACTTAGGTGGGGCTGAAACCCTAGTGCTCCCCCTATGTTTTCTAATCAGAACCAGTAGGCAGGGGAGAGGAGGAGGAGGCTGGCACTGGGGTGCAAGGGATAGAGGGCGGGAGAAAAAAAAACCCGAAGAAGGAAGCTACCGACTACCACAGTGTGAATGACCCTAGGCCTAGCCTCCTGGACACACAGAACGGGCAGCAGGAATGGCAAAGGCACAACACAGGAATTACTTCCTGCAACCTAGCCCAACCCTGGGGATCCCCTCCCAGGCCCCACTTTCCTTGCACCCACCTTGCCGATGTTGGTGTTATCCAAGGCAGCATCGATCTCATCCAGGACGAAGAAAGGGGCTGGCTTGTAACTGGGAGGGAACCAGTAGGTGAGCTGCTACTGAGGGGAGGAGGGTGACAAGGTGGGGTGGGACAGCCCCACGGCCCACCTGACCGACCAACTGCCCTCTGTATTTGTTCAGATATGAAACGCCCCAGGCCTCACAGCTGCCTGAGCTGCCAAAAACCCATACATACTGCAGAGCCTTCTTAACACAGGCAACCTGGTGCTCCAGGATCCGGACGAATCACGAAATACACGGTTCTTGCATTAGTTGCCCAGCTGGCTGGGAAAATAAAGCTGGCCACAACCGGACAAGCTCCCCCCAGAGGTCCAGCCCCACGCCCACCACACTGTCATGCCTCCTGGCTATTGCGTACGCTGCACCTACAGTCCAGAATGCCTGCTGGTCTTCTAGGCAAATGTCTTCTCAGTCTTCACATCTTCTGCTCCAAGTGCCACCTGCCCTCCAGAACATTCCCTGGCCCAACCTTGCCACACCAGACCAGGGGTCACCTCCTCTGCACTCACTCAGATTCTGGCTTCCACCAGACATGGGAGCTCCTCCAGGACAGACCACATTTGATTCCTCTGCCGTGCCCAACCCTCCACAAGGACTGCGACACAGCATGAGGCTGTCCCATGGGACACTAAGTTGTGGGGGTCAGGCTCAAGTACTATTGGTGTTCAGGAAGGGGAGCTTGGGGTACGCCACAAATGGTCAAAGAGGGTTTCCTAGAGGAAGGGGATGGCGAGGATGAAGCATGTAGGGGCGAAAGGTGACAGTCTAGCCAGAGTTGCATGAAAAGGGCTTGTGAGCCAGCAAACTTGTGAGCCAAAGCTGGGAGGCTGAGACTGAATCCATGCAAGGGCCAGTGAGGACATGACGAGTGGCTGAGCATAGACAGGGCCAGCAGAAGCAAGGCCAACTGGCCGCAGTCGATAGCAAAGTGGTAATGCATTCTGGAGTCCGCCAGAACAGCTGCACCTGTTCATATCTCTGCATATCCCTGGGCCCCCAGGGTCTAAGGGCAGTCTCAGCTGAACTGGTCAACTGTCCTGAGAGGCAGCCTTACCTGTGGATGGCAAACAGCAGGGCCAAAGCTGCCACTGTCTTCTCCCCGCCGGATAAGTTGTCCATAGGCCGGAAGCGTTTGCCAGGAGCCACGCAGTTGTAGTTGATGCCATCCAAGTAGGGCTCCTCTGGGTTCTCGGGACCCAGGAATGCCTGTGGAAAAGCAGACTCGTTAGGATCCCGATGGGAGTCAGGCCAAGTGCAAGGCAAAGGGCAACGGCGGCTGGTTGCAGTTGGCTGGGCAAGGGGCTGCAGCCTACCTGGGCACTGCTGTTGCGGGACAGAGCCTTGTAGATCTCATCGATGTTGGTAGCCACAGACTCAAAGCAGGCGTTGAAGCGGTCAAAGCGCTCCTTCTTGATCTGTTCAAACGCCTGCTTGGCCTTCTTCGCTCGCTTTCGGGCTGCCTCAAACTCTGCCAGAAGGAAAAATTAAGGGCCCTTCTTTCTGTGCCTTAGTTCTGTCAGGGCAGAGGGCTAAGCCCCAACCAGGATGACTCTGCAAATGATAAGCCAGGGCAGGAACATCCCACAGGTAAAAAAGGATGCCTGAAGAGGATCAAAGAGGCTCTCAGCAATCTGCACCTGCCACAAGACACAGCGCAGAGGAAGAAATCGGGACCTAGAGTCATATGAACATGGAGCCTTCCCTGGGCCCTGCCAGCAACCAGCCGTGTGGCTGCAGACAAGTCATGTACCCGCTCAGAATCTCTAGGGTTTTCTACTCTAGCATCCTGTTGATAACCCCCTGGGTTATAAAAACAAACAAAAAGCTTGGAGGGCTTTTTTTTTTTTTCATTTTTCATGAATACAGTTCCAAAGCCTCAGGGATTTTCCCTCTCACCCTCCCCAGTTACCCCCCCACAGTTTTCACCTGTATTATAACAATAATCTAGCCCTTCAACAACAGTCACACGTCTATCATTCTGCTATTGAAGTGTATCCTGACATGGTTTTAAGTAACAAATTCTGTAACAAGTAGGCAATAAAGCCATGGGTTATACAGTAGGCGCCCAGCATGGCTCTAGCCTCCAGAGCCTTCCCCTTGGCCCAGAGGTGGGAGGGGGTGGGGGAAAGGCAGGTTGTAAGTCTTACCATCGGAGGTCTCCTGGAACTTGTCTCGGACACTCTCCAGCTTTTCCATGGCCTTCATGTTGGGGGCAGCAATGCGCTGTAACACGCTCTGCTGCTCGTTCAGCTTCTGCTGCAGTGTGTTCATCTCCTGCTTAATCTCCTCCTCAGCCTGGGCATCCTGCAAGTCCCAGGACCCACCGCATCAGCAAGGGCCTGGCCCACCAAGACGGTGGTCCTGAGGGGACCCGGGGCACCTGCTCTCCCATGCAAAGGCAGACTCTTTCCCAATTTGCCTCATCCCACCCGATTCTCCGACTTACAGGAGCCATTCCCACCACGGCTGGCAAAAGCAGGCTGTTGTAGCTTTCTCCTCTCCAGCCCTTCCCCCAGGCTCTGCCGACCTCTCTGCCTCTCTGGAGGAGCCAGGTGGTGGTGCCCCTCTCTGGCTGTCAGCCCAGGCCAGGAGCCAGCCCCATGCCAGGGTGACCTCGAGGCTCCCACACACGCTGCTCCAGACTCTACTTACGGCACCACAGTGATGAAGTCAACTCATACTGTCTGCTTAGATTGCTAGAGCTGAGCCAATCTCACTTGCTTTAAGCGCTTAGGAATATTGTAGTGAAAGTGCCTTTCTGCCACATTTCATCAATAAATGCTTATTCAGGGCTGGGGACTGTGGCGTGGCAGGTGAAGCTGCTGCTAGGGACGCTCACACCCCTTACCACAGTGCCTGCTGTGTGAATACTGACGACGCTGCAATTCCAACCCAGCTGCCTACTATTGCACCTGGGCAGGGGGGAGCTGGCCCAAACGCCTGTGGCCCTGACACCTATGGTTCTGACAGCTGGTTCTGTGGGAGAACCAGCTGCAGGTCCAGGACCCTGGCTTCAGTTGCCTACCCACAACTGTTGCAGACATTTGGGAATATACCAGCAGATGAAAGACTGTGCACCTTTCAAATGAAATGGAAAAACAAAATTTTTAAAAAAGATAATCAACTTTTAAACTTTTGTTCAAAAGCAAAGAAACCAGGAAAGCATTTAGCAGTGGTACTAATGGTATGTGTGCAGTTTCCATGGGTCTAAATGTGCTGGAGATACTTTATTCTGAGTTGCAGGGAAACACACGTTTTGAGTGACTCCAGAAATTCTCTGTGAAGATCTCTAGGCCCTACTGTGGAGTGGTTTCCAGGGCAGGATTTTCAGTGAACTATGAAAAGTGCAAATCAGTATGCTATCTTTATTTAAGAGGAAATATGAATATATTTGCATTTTAAACAACCATAAAAAGGGGATAACCCAAAGACTAAAGGATTACCTATAGAGAAAGCAGTAAAGGGGACAGAAAGTGTTCTCTTCAAGTACCTTGTTTCACACTTCTGGTTTTCAAAATACATGAAGATGTTACATAATCATGCAACAACATTAAAATCAAGGTCAGAGCTATGGCACAGCCTGGGATCCTGACATCCACAGGATGTCAATGTGCTGGGTCAAGTCTCAGCTCTTCCATTTCTGGTCCAGCTTCCTGCTAATGCACCTGGGAAAGCAGCTCGAGATGCTTCAATGTGCTTGGGCCCCTGCTACCCCCATGAAAAACCCAGATGGAGTTCCAAGCTCCTGACTTAGACCTGGCCCAGCAATGGCTGCCGTGGTCATTTGGGGAGTGAACCAGCACATGGAGGGTATCTCTTTCTGTCTCTCCTTCCCTCTGCCTTTGCAACAAATAAATAAAACTAATCTTCAAAACCAGAATTAACTCAAAATGCATTAATTTGGGGTAAAAAAAAAAACTGTTGGGTGTTCACAAGATGCCAAAAACATCTCCCCAATGATAATTTATTAATCCATATGAAACAAAAAAGTGTACATTTAGCTTTGAGAGATCTGGCAATTAATTCTAACTAAGGAAACGTGCTAGGTTTCACCAACAGTGGGCACTCCTGATGTGATGCAATTCTCGACAGATGCCCATACCAAGTGCACAGCCCCATGCATGCAAAGTTCCTGCCCAAAACCCCCCCACAGAGCCCCAGATTATACCCAATTTCTAATTTACAGGAGACAGCAGGGTTGGAAAAATAGGTTAAATGATGCATTCTACAAAGAAACTAAGAAATCTCTAATGTGGTAAATTTTCTAAAACAACTCACACAGATTCTTCAGAAGATACTGTGCAAGAGAGATGAACTCGTTTATATTCACCAAACTCAAGGGGAAAGCGTCTGGTCTAGAAGATAAGACACCACCTGGTGGGCTAACATTCCATTTCAGAGTGCCTGGATCTTTTTAGTTTTTGGTTGGAGTCTCAGTGCTGCTCCTGACTCCAGTTTCTTGCTCATACCACACTCTGGGAGTCGGGGGTACCAGGGTGTGGTAGCTCAGGTGACTTGGTCTTTGCCACCCATTCTCAGACCTGCACTAGTCCCCGGTTCCTGGCCTCACCCTAGAGCTTTCCTGGGCTATTGCAGCTGATTGGAAAAAGAAACAATAGATGAAAGATCTCTAACACTTAGTAAAATAAAAACCAAAAGCAATTTAGTAAAACTTGATTTCATCCTAGTTCCAATGAAGGGGAAGGAGCTCTATAAAGACTCTTGAAACTTCTAGGAAAACCCAAGTATGAATTAGGTACTAAGTACTATTCTTTTAGGTATAATGTGAAATTGCGGTCATGTATGAGAATCTCCTGTTCATAGCAGGCAGAACAATCCAGGATTGAAGCATCAAATGTTTCTGCTTTGTTCAAAAGGTTCCCAGGTAGGAAGGTGGCTGGTGATGTTACTTAGGAGACCCACATCCCAAAATGGAGTCCCTGGGTTTGTATCTCTGCTCTTGTTTCCAAACTAGCTTCCTTCTAGTGCAGACCATGAAAGTCAGCAGGTGATGGCTCAAGAACTTAGGTCGCTGGCACCCTCGTGGAGGACCTACCTGAAATTTCAGGCTCCTGGTTTCACCCTGGCCAGCCCCAGCTGTTGCAGACATTTTAGGAGTGAAACAGCAAATGGAGGAGCTCTCCCTATCTGTCTCAGTTTGGCTCTGCCTTCTGAATAAATTTTTTTAAAATGTATAAAAGACTGGCCCCGGTGCGGTGGCGCAGTGGTTAAGGTCCTCGCCTTGCACGCCCGGGATCCCATATGGGCGCTGGTTCTATCCCGGCAGCCCCACTTCCCTTCCAGCTCCCCATCTGTGGCTGGGGAAAGCAGTCGAGGACGGCCCAAGGCTTTGGGAACCTGCACCCGCGTGGGAAACCCGGAAGAGGCTCCTGGCTTCGGATCGGCATAGCATCGGCCTGTTGGGCTCACTTGGGGAGTGAATCATCGGACGGAAGATCTTCCTCTCTGTCTCTCCTCTCTGTATATCTGCCTTTCCAATAAAAACATAATAAAAATAAATCTTAAAAAAAAAATGTATAAAAGACTTAGCAAAAACAACCCCAAAACATGCATGTATCGGGGTGAAACAGAAGAGATGAGAGAGTCAAGGTGGTAAAATACTCATTGACAAAACTAACATGAAAGGCGCATAGCTTCACTGTTCTTTCAACTATGCTGTAGTTTAAGCCATTTTATTAGTAAAGTTGGGAACTAAGTCAAAAGGCTACAATGAACAATCCGCAAAATTTGAAAACAAAGAAATTGGTTAAACATTCAAAGAGTTCTTTCAACTTAATTTAAAACACAGGAATAAGGGCTCATGCCGAATGAGCATTTAGCCTATGATAAAAGAACATCAAGGAAATATTAAAGCTATTTTAAAAATGCTGCACTTAATTAAAATAACTTATTGTGATTTTCAAACTATTATGCACAGAGTAGGATAAAGTAAATATGTTATTATACTAGTGTTGCTAGGAACCAAGATTTTCAGCTAGAATAACTCAGAGACTCCAACACAAAGTCTATGTGAAGCTCTGAAAATTCCAATTTCAAGGGAAAGTATCAATAGGAACTTGTGACACAATTTTTCCTTCAAAATGAAAAATGTGTTTAGTAGCCCAATCTACTGAAAAGTTCTAAAAGCACTGACCAACCACCCAAAGTCAGGATCATTTCACTGTCCAGATGGCAGTTGCTGAATTAGAGCATTTTCTGCTGAAAGAAGTGAGAGCTTCTCCGAGACATGGCTGATTCTGGGCCCGGGGTGGGAAACGCACAAGATGACCTCAGGCACATCAGGAAGCAAGGAAGATGCTGAAGACTACAAGGGATGCAACAAAATGACTCCGAAGGCAAAGACGCGATAAGGCAGCACTGAAAAGGATAATAATCATGACAGACTAAAACACTCCATATGAAGAGAACCCAGTGGCCAAATCCTTAGATTGCCAAGGAAAACAACTTAGTATTTTACAAACAGATGAATAAAAAGGAGAAACAAATATATGCCACGCCCTTGCCATACAAACCGTATCTCAGGGTAACTGAAGAAATGATGAGAACTCCCGCTCTACAGTATTCCAGCTAACAAAGAAATGACAGAACTCATTACTACCAAGGTGGCCGGAGAAGGGTGGAGTTTGCCTCCAACCAAACCCGGAAAGGATGGTGGAATTCTGGCGGGCCCCTCAGGCAGTGAGACCACCGCTGCACCAATGAGGAGCAAAGACCCATATCCCCCGCCACCAATAAGGGCCGAGGTGACCCCTGCCTTGGCTTCCGTGTCAAGGAGAGTTTAAAAGGGCCCCTTCCCCGTCTTTTCCGCGTTCTTCTTCCTTTGCAGCTCACTCCTTCACGTCTGACTGCTGCATGGGGAAGGGAGGCCGTGACCGCAGTTCTGGAATAAAGGCCATTTAATTCTTTTCATGTATTCGGCTGAGCTATTCTTTCCCTGGTGGGAAGGAGGAGAGGTCCTTAAGCTGCCCACCACCGCAGAGTTGCAGCTTCCCTCCCTCGGAACCTCAACCACTGTGACTGCTGCCCGCCGCCGCAGGGGTGAGTTCCCCTCCAAGACAGGCCCCCTCTGGTTCCGATTAAAGCCCCCAATTGCTTCATTCAGGTCTGCCGAGTCACGCGCATGCCAGGCGTGCCAGGCCTCCGTTTTCGGACCTGCTGCGAGTGGCGAGGAGTCCCAGCTTCGCACTGGTCACTCCGGTTTTTTGGAGCCTTCTCAGACTTTGGGACGCCCGGTGTGAGAGCCGCTCCTCGGCACTCAAGGAGCTTCCAGCCTAGCGCAGGTT